TATTTTCTAGTTCGGGGAACAGACACAGTCTGTATAGTGTGATATCTAGGTGAAAGAGTTTCTATGTGCTGAGAACTAACTGATTTCTGTGATATGAGGCGGCTAGCAGACGGTCGGTTTAGCTAGTCTGTCTGCTTCCTGACCTGGGCCCCAGTTAGTCAAGCACAAACTCTAAGACTATGTGCCATATTTCTAGAGAGAAGAGCGGCACCACCCCAGGAGGGATGAAGACCATCTCTTTTCAACAGGTCAGGTCTGCCCCAAAAACTCGTCCAATTGTCTATGAAACCTATGTTATTCTGCGGGCACCACTTAGACATCCAGCCATTGAGTGACGACAGTCTGCTGTGTATCTCATCACCACGGTAAGCAGGGAGGGGACCAGAGCATATTACAGTGTCTGACATCGTGCTTGCAAGTTCACACACCTCTTTAATGTTATTTTTACTGATATCTGACTGGCGAAATCGAACAACATTTAAATTTGCCAAGATCTCTTGCTCCCGGTAGGCATTGGACTATGGTGGCTGTTGTCTCTAATTTCTTGTTCCGTACAATAGAATCACCAATAACTAGAGCTTTGATCAGGTTTCTCAGTGGGTCACTGAATGGGGAGAACCTGTTTGATGTTTTGATTGTAACGAAAGAGAGGTGTTTTGACCCGTGACTATGCCGCCTCACAGTCACCCAGTCGCCCTGCTGCAGAGGCTCTGTAAACGGAACCGAACAATGTACAGGACTCCCTGAGCTAGTCGCATACAAAGCCTTATTTAAGGCCCTCTCATTCTTACTGTCCTCAATTAAATTTTGGATGCGTGACTAGTTCTGAAATGTTCTCTGTCAGCCTAAATATTTCCCTACATTTATCACATGTGAATCTCTCACTGCTGACAGAGAAAGCTAAACTATACATGTGGCAAGCAGGAGAAGAAGCCATTACTCACTGTGTTTGTTAAATGATTCTGACTTACCACAGTTGTTTGATGAACTCAGGAAAAACGGAGTGAGAGAGAAAAGAAATGCAGCGAGACAGAGAGAAAAGAAACACAGATAGAAACGCAAATGGCAAGCTAACAGAATGCTAACATGCTGCGTTAGCGGTTTGTATTAAAAAGCGAATGATGTCAAATTAGTTTGATAGATAATTTCAGAAATATGGTGAGAATTGTTATATTTTAGTAGTTTAAACAACAGAGTGTGATAGTAAGAGTATATATAGATTATTTTAATCTCTTTCTCACTGATAAGAAGAAAAGCTAGGCTGGGATGCTGGTTTAAACTGGTCATTTGGTGGTTTATGCTGGTCCTTTGCCAGCACATGACCAGCATAAACCAGCAAAGGACCAGCTTAAGCCAGCAAAGGACCAGCTTAAGCCAGCAAAGGACCAGCTTAAGCCAGCAAAGGACCAGCTTAAGCCAGCAAAGGACCAGCTTAAGCCAGCAAAGGACCAGCTTAAGCCAGCAAAGGACCAGCTTAAGCCAGCAAAGGACCAGCTTAAGCCAGCAAAGGACCAGCTTAAGCCAGCAAAGGACCAGCTTAAGCCAGCAAAGGACCAGCTTAAGCCAGCAAAGGACCAGCTTAAGCCAGCAAAGGACCAGCTTAAACCAGCATCCCAGCGTCAAAACATACCTAACCAAGCATATGCTGTTTTTTTCAACAGGGAACAACAGAGATTATATTTATTTGAATGGATTCAAATGAATTAATGAGCGAGAGAGAGAGAGAGAGAGAGAGAGAGAGAGAGAGATTGTGAGTGTAAATTACCTGTGTCTGTAGTGTCTATGTAATAGTGAAACTGTGAGTTTAAATACAAAATCACCTCATTGCTGAGAAATATTATTTAAGATTTATGTAGTAAGGCTGTTTTATTTATACAATTCACAGGGCAGAGGTTGAAATCAAGTTGCTATGCCCCTGAATGTTTGTGTGTGTGTGCAGTCTCTTACCAACATATAAAGTTTCCACCTCAATTAAGAAAGCTTCTAGTGTGAATGCATACAGGCATACAACATCAAAAAGCTATTTTTGTGGGCAAACATGTTGCCTTGTTGTGACTTGGAATTCCAAAGAGAATAAAATATATGTGTTTAGACACAGATCAGATGTACACATATTGGATATGTATCCGATTTAAAATCACATTTGGAAGTTGCTGTGAATGGATGCAAAAAAATAATAAAAAATCAGATCTCATGCAGATTTTTGAGTTTACATGAGTGCAACAAATTCCAATGTGTGTCAGATGTGAATTTAAAAAAAATCAGATTTTTTCTTGTGCCAGTGTAAACTCAGCCAAATATGGAAAGTTTGATTTGATGCATCCAGTGTAGACAAGATTTGAGTATGTTGCAGACCATTAAAGCTCCCTTCATCACAAGTGGTGCTGGATTATTTTTAAAAAAGTTTGAACAGTTTGTTTCCACACACCTTGTGAAGTGGTAAAGTTACACCAGATCCCATTTTACTAACATTTAAAATCTCAACTAATAAAATATCACAGTGAAACACCATCTTTTATAGAAATGTAAATGTGAACCAGTGGAGGACTGCACGTAAGACTACATTTCTGAAGTATGTTTATTATTACATTACTGTTGATATATTTTATTAGGTTGCATTATTGCTGATGTCATCTGACATATAAAGAGAACTCTTATAAATTCACAATATGAATGAAATTCTCTCTACTGGTGAGTGTTGATGTGTTTTTGTTGATGATGAAACTGTTTTGATCCATATGTAGGTTGTCTGGCTGTATGGTGACAGAGGAGGGATGTTGTTATGTGTCTTCAGCTCTGAGTTCAAACCCCTCACACCTGAGAGAGCTGGATCTGAGCTACAATCACCCCGGAGATTCAGGAGTCAAGCTGCTCTCTGAAAAACTGGAGGATCCAAACTATCAACTGCAGATACTCAAGTATGTCAAACATTAATAGAGTGCTGCAGGGATGACGTCAAAACCCGGAAGACCAATTCACTATGGGTCCCCTCAAGATATTCCTATGAGGTTTTATAATGGGGGGAGGGTTCAATTTATGAATAAAATATGGTCTGTGGAAAACATAACTTAATGATAATTGAATGTTATGTTCTACAACGTAAACTGCACACACACTCACACCCCAAACTTTCTTATGTAGTTACTTATTAGAAACATACATTTTAAAAAAACAAACATAACTTCAAAAGTTGTGTTTTAGATATGGGTGTGCGTAATTTACAATGCAGAGCAAAACATTCAGGTACTCTCATGTAATGTTTAACACACAATAATGACAATAATAACAACCTTATTTTAGTCATAAATTGAAAGTGAAAGTGACGTGACGTGTAGCCAAGTATGGTGTCCCATACTCTGAATTTGTATTCTGCATTTAACCCATCCAAGTGCACACACACAGCAGTGAGTAGTGAACACACACACCCGGAGCAGTTGGGGGTTCGGTGCCTTGCTCAAGGGTCTCACCTCATTATTGAGGGTGGAAGAAAGAGCTGGTCATTCACTCCCCCCACCTAAAATCCCTTCTGGTACCGAGACTTGAACCCACGACCTTTGTGTTACAAGTCCGACTCTCTAACCATTAGGCTACCGCTATGTTTGCATTACATTTATCCATGGTCGTTTTTGCTGTTTTTATAGAAATAAAAACCATTTGATTCAGTTGGATAACGGTCACTAAGCTTTGCAGACATACAGCCTCGGATGCTGTAAAATTTGTTTGCCATCAAATTTGTTGACGCGGCAAATGAAAACCATTTCACCTACCGACACAAAATCAATAACATTTTGCTGTAATGGTCTGAAGTTGATCTAAGTGCAATTCAGTGAAAATTTCGTTTAAAAATAAGTTTTCAACCTCAATCGAAATGTCAGACAGGAAGTTCGGCCTATAACGGAATAATTTATATTGATGTTCTCGGCATGACCCAAGGAATATATCAAGACCAGTATCATAACAAAAGGCAAAATTATTTAAAAGCTATTAGCTTTATTTTAAATTTCATTATTAAGAGTTAATAATTTCTTATTAATGATTTTTTACTTTTAACCAATAGGTGGTGCTGTTACCAAATTGATGTGGTGAGGTCAGTGTGAGGTGACAATGTCACACATAAAGATTGGTACCAGTACATCAAAGCTTTGTAGAGATACAGCCTCAGATGCAATTTTTATCAAAAACCTTCAAAACGAAATCCATAACCTTTCACTGGCATGGTCTAAAGATGATTTGGGTCAAATGTAGTGAAAATTGGACTAACGGTATAGGGGAAGTTTAAAAAAGTAGTTTTTCAACGTTAATCAAAATGGCAGACAGGAAGTTCAGCTGATTATGGAATAATTAGTATTTATGTTCTCAACATGATCCAGGGAATCTAACAAGACCAGTCACATGACAAGAGGCAACATTGTTTATAAGCTATTAACATTTATTGAAAGTTCATTATTAATAGTTAATAGTTTCATATGAATGGTTTATGACTTTTGACCAATAAGTGGTGCTGTTGTCAAATTGATGTGGTGTGATCAGTATGTGGTGACAATGGCACATACAAATTTGGTGTCAATATGTCATTCAAAAGAAGAAAAATATCTGTCAATAGAGCAAAAAAAAAATCTTGTTTTTCCTTTGATAAATTTTCTTGCACAATTGGCAGATATGCTTCCTTGTTTTAAGCACAAACTGACAAAATTATGATACATTTTACAGAAAACAAGAGTTAATAAAAAGTTGCTTTGCTTCTCAACTAAATTTATCTTGATACAAAATGTTTAGATATTTGTACTAGAAAACAAGTAAAAAAAATACTAATTAAGACATTTTTTTTTTGCAGTGGGTCTACCATTTTGATTTTCTTTGAAAACATACTTTTTTGAACTCCTCCTAGGCTGTTGGTCCGATTTTCACCAAATTTGACCCTGATCATCTTCAGACCACGCCAACAAAAAGTTATGGATTTCATGTCAATATAAGAAACGCTTATCGTTTAGTGCATGAATGAATTTAATGTCATGGTGCCAAACTGCATCTGAAGCTGTATTGAGGCTGCAAAGCTTGGAAATATTTACACCAAACTCACATTGACCACACCACATTAATTTGTTAACACCACTACCTCTTAGTCAAAAGTAATAAACCTATTAATAAATCATGCTACTATTGATTGTATTTATGATTATTTTTCTGCCTCTGTTGTGCTTGGCCCATTAATTGCTGCTTGCAGCTATATTTTATACTGTTTTTATTTGTCAATTTGTGGAAAGGTTAGGAGGTCACACACAGCTTCAGTTAGAAGTTCTAGAAGCTCATAATTCATGTAAAAAAACATTTAAAAAAACTTGCCCCTTTTAGACTTGCACTCTATTAATTTACTAACTGCTTGTTTTCTGAAAAAAGAAAACACTAGCTTCTCTAATCTTTTTGTATTCTATTTGTTTTCTTTTCATTTATTATACAATTAACAAAAGCAAAAAAGGCCTCTAACACTAGCTTGCTCTATTTCTATTCTATCCGTTTTCTTTTTATTTATTATATAATTTAAAAAAAACTTCCTAGGTGTACTGTGTTAAGCTAACTGAGACTTGTTATTGCTCTCTTGTTGAGCATCTTTCCACTCCTGGTGCGAATCCAAAATGACCTCCTCATCGAACCTCACACATCCTCCAATCTCATGAGCTAATGCAATAAAACAGTTCAGGTATATATTTAAAGAAAGAATCACGAGGATGGATAAAATTTAGCGACAGCCCAAATGCGTCTCGCATCTCTCACCACGAGCTGGCACGCAAGTGACGTCAGCAACCATTGATTAACTTCACATAACATTAATAACTTAAACTTACAAACTTATTTCCACAAAACGATTGTACTAACATATTGACAGAAATAATCGATCAATCAACTCTATTATTTGAGTGGGTTACATCCTCCTCTGCTCAAAACTCTGATGTTCTCATCAGATACTTAATTAACTGCCTGACCCATTAGGCTAAACAACAAATCAAATTACTTGGGGGTCTTTTTTCTCTTTGGGACCTTCTCAACCCAAAAAGAGAATCATTCATCACTTAACTCATCATGCTGTACTGACACATCAGCATCTTCCTTCACTAAGAATGAAATATCTTGCTGAATTTCGGTCTGAAAAAATCTAAACTTGGAAGGGGTCAGCTTCAGTTTAAAAGCAGAAATCCGTTGGAGAACTTCCATGAGCCTATCCTCATGCTGTTCAAATGTGTCTTAAAAAATTATTAAGTCATCAAGAAAAGCTATGACTTCCTGCAAATTCAAACAGCTGATTATGGAATAATTAGTATTTATGTTCTCAACATGATCCAGGGAATCTAACAAGACCAGTCACATGACAAGAGGCAACATTGTTTATAAGCTATTAACATTTATTGAAAGTTCATTATTAATAGTTAATAGTTTCATATGAATGGTTTATGACTTTTGACCAATAAGTGGTGCTGTTGTCAAATTGATGTGGTGTGATCAGTATGTGGTGACAATGGCACATACAAATTTGGTGTCAATATGTCATTCAAAAGAAGAAAAATATCTGTCAATAGAGCAAAAAAAAAATCTTGTTTTTCCTTTGATAAATTTTCTTGCACAATTGGCAGATATGCTTCCTTGTTTTAAGCACAAACTGACAAAATTATGATACATTTGACAGAAAACAAGAGTTAATAAAAAGTTGCTTTGCTTCTCAACTAAATTTATCTTGATACAAAATGTTTAGATATTTGTACTAGAAAACAAGTAAAAAAAATACTAATTAAGACATTTTTTTTTTGCAGTGGGTCTACCATTTTGATTTTCTTTGAAAACATACTTTTTTGAACTCCTCCTAGGCTGTTGGTCCGATTTTCACCAAATTTGACCCTGATCATCTTCAGACCACGCCAACAAAAAGTTATGGATTTCATGTCAATATAAGAAACGCTTATCGTTTAGTGCATGAATGAATTTAATGTCATGGTGCCAAACTGCATCTGAAGCTGTATTGAGGCTGCAAAGCTTGGAAATATTTACACCAAACTCACATTGACCACACCACATTAATTTGTTAACACCACTACCTCTTAGTCAAAAGTAATAAACCTATTAATAAATCATGCTACTATTGATTGTATTTATGATTATTTTTCTGCCTCTGTTGTGCTTGGCCCATTAATTGCTGCTTGCAGCTATATTTTATACTGTTTTTATTTGTCAATTTGTGGAAAGGTTAGGAGGTCACACACAGCTTCAGTTAGAAGTTCTAGAAGCTCATAATTCATGTAAAAAAACATTTAAAAAAACTTGCCCCTTTTAGACTTGCACTCTATTAATTTACTAACTGCTTGTTTTCTGAAAAAAGAAAACACTAGCTTCTCTAATCTTTTTGTATTCTATTTGTTTTCTTTTCATTTATTATACAATTAACAAAAGCAAAAAAGGCCTCTAACACTAGCTTGCTCTATTTCTATTCTATCCGTTTTCTTTTTATTTATTATATAATTTAAAAAAAACTTCCTAGGTGTACTGTGTTAAGCTAACTGAGACTTGTTATTGCTCTCTTGTTGAGCATCTTTCCACTCCTGGTGCGAATCCAAAATGACCTCCTCATCGAACCTCACACATCCTCCAATCTCATGAGCTAATGCAATAAAACAGTTCAGGTATATATTTAAAGAAAGAATCACGAGGATGGATAAAATTTAGCGACAGCCCAAATGCGTCTCGCATCTCTCACCACGAGCTGGCACGCAAGTGACGTCAGCAACCATTGATTAACTTCACATAACATTAATAACTTAAACTTACAAACTTATTTCCACAAAACGATTGTACTAACATATTGACAGAAATAATCGATCAATCAACTCTATTATTTGAGTGGGTTACATCCTCCTCTGCTCAAAACTCTGATGTTCTCATCAGATACTTAATTAACTGCCTGACCCATTAGGCTAAACAACAAATCAAATTACTTGGGGGTCTTTTTTCTCTTTGGGACCTTCTCAACCCAAAAAGAGAATCATTCATCACTTAACTCATCATGCTGTACTGACACATCAGCATCTTCCTTCACTAAGAATGAAATATCTTGCTGAATTTCGGTCTGAAAAAATCTAAACTTGGAAGGGGTCAGCTTCAGTTTAAAAGCAGAAATCCGTTGGAGAACTTCCATGAGCCTATCCTCATGCTGTTCAAATGTGTCTTAAAAAAAAATTAAGTCATCAAGAAAAGCTATGACTTCCTGCAAATTCAAACCAGCCATGACTTTCTCCATGGTTCTTTGAAACGTTGCAGGAGAATTTGTCGGTCCTTCTGGTAAAGAAATTGCCAATTAACAAACGGCGAAGTAAATGCCGTTTTGGGATGGTCACTTTCTTCTACCTCCAACTGGTAGTATCCACTCTTTAAATCTAGGACCGAAAACCACTTAGAGACTGACAACAAAGTAAACGTCTCCTCAATCCTTGGGAGAGGATATGAGTCTCCTTTTGTCAGTTTACTGGGTTTGCGATAATCAATCATCATTCTCAAATCTCAATTTTTCTTCCTCACCAGTACAACTGGGGAAGTGTAAGGACTGTTAGATTCATCAGTTATCTCACTAGTGAGCAAATCTAACAGATGTTTCCTCAAATCTTCAAAATCAGCTGGTGAGACCCGACGGGTACGCTCTTTGAAAGGAATGTGGCCAATTAGCTCTATCTGATGTGCTACACCTGACACATGTCCCACATCAAGATCATGTTTGGCGAACGCACTTGACACTTCCCGGCTTATTCTTTCAATGATGTGAGCTTTGAACTATCAGAAATAGGAGGGTCACCAAAATTCACAGGATCCTCCGTCTCTGCCAAAAGATCAGGGCTGTGGTGGCATGTGAAGTTCCAATATCATCAAAAAGAGGCACAGACTTAATCCAGTCCACCACTGAACACTCAGCGAGCACTCCCTTTGGGAAACTATTTGTCCCGCAGCTCCCTCAACCCGAAGTAGGTCTCCCATAAGGGTAATGCCCCTATGTTGTAAGTACTGCCTGTAGAAAGATTCGGCTACACAAGCCACCTGGGATCCAGTATCGATTAAACAGTGACACTCAATTCCATCCAACCAAACTTTAATTTCCCAAGTTTCCCCGATTAGACCAATAGGAATCTAGTTACACTTTTCTATGGAACTTTTCGCAACTACAGCTTCTGTTCATTCCACAACAGAAGCTACTCCAAGTTTAAATGCATGATGGACGCCATCACTTTGATGGGAGAACTCCTCTGCTCATGCCTCTGCACTAACTTTTGCTGCACCAAGGCTGCATTCACAGATTTAGTGCAGTGAATGAATTGCAAAAAAATGAGAGTCCTCACCACAGTGGTAGCAAAACCCACCAACAGACAGTGACTTAGGTTAAGTTTGAGGCACAGTGCGTGATGGCTTCCCTTCTTTGCCTCTTTTCTTCTTGGGCCCATTGGCCTGGAATTGCTCATACACCTGTTTATTCACTGAGGCTGGCTTCTGTGCTTTAGCTTTAGCTCAAGCTCTTTTATACGTCTCGTCAATGCCATACTGTCTTGCACCTCCTCAGGGTTTGCGCCGTACCCCTGGTCAACAGTTAAATGGACTTGGCTCTGAACTCTAGTGGGAGGTGTATACAAATAGAGATTCATACATTTCTCTTCAAAACTGAGGTCTTACGAGCATGAAAAGCAGCTTAAAAGCAAGCTAGAATAGCTCATTTCGGATTGTGACGAGTCTGTTAACAAATCTTTAAGACACAACTGAGTAATCAGAAATTCATCCCAGCACCCTCTAATGAACTGTTTGAGATGTAAAGTGTCAGAATGTTTGCAACCACTCCCTTCTTTTCAACCACCTCCTGCATCAGAGAATGGAGTCGTCTTAAATAATCAAAGGGCTTTCCACCCCTGTTCTGGTGCGTCTCTATAAACTGAATGTACAGCTCATCTCCACCAGTCACACTACCATAGGCTTTTTCAAGCTCCAGCAAATACATTTCTGGTGGTGCATTGGTACCTACCCCATGAGCAACATTAAGAGCAGGGGGGGAGAAGAGTTTCATGCATCAAGTTCCTTTCCATCGGGGTTGAATCATTTTGAATTGCAAATGACACTTTTGATGCTGAATTTGCAGCTAAAGTCTGCCTCACTCAATGCCTTGCATCACAGAATGTTCTTGTAACATGGTTTGAGTTGATAGGACCCTTGTCAACATTATCATCCTTGTGTGCAAGTTTAGTCACCACCTGCTGGCTTAGATCATTTATATTTACACAAGTGTACTTGGGCCAAATTTTCTTTTTGCGCCAACAGCTGATCAGCCATATCATCCAAGGGTTGAACTGAATCTCTCTGTATTGGTGTGGGAGCACTCACGTGATGCCGAACATCTTTTATCTGTCTACAATCTAGTGTTACAACACCCCATACATTTTGGCCATCAGCATTCAAATATTCTTCTTTGGCAATTAATGGGGTGGTAACCTCCTGAAATTCACAGAGAAGCTCCCCTGAGGATTTGACTCCTAACCACTCTATTTTCTTCACCTTATCAAGATTCAATTCTTATCAATTCTGTGAGAGTAGTGTTTGGATTTACCTTTGTGAGTATTACGGACCTCCCAGGATCAAAATGATGTTGCTTGCACAGATCCATGTTGAAAGGAAACGAGGAAATAATAATAAAAAACAATACAAAAAAATGATATATCGGTAGAAAAAAAAATTATTCAAATCAGTTAGGATCAAAATTTATCACAAGTGCAGCCCCACTTTGGGCGTAAAATTTTTGTCTCTCTATTCTGTAACCCACTTGACATTTATATCAATGAAAAGGACGAAAAGTATCTACTGGGTCTGAGCTCACCAAATTGTTACGGTCTGCCTACTGTGTTGGAACGAGGAGCGAAGGAGCGAGGAGACGTAGGAGAATTCATGAAGTACATTATTTATTAATCCATTGGAACACACACGTAGCACAGAAGAACAGACGTTTAAGACCGGACGCAGGACACAGGAAAAACCAGGGCTTAAGTAACTAAAACTAAACGAGGAACACCTGACATCAATGAACATAATCAACAAGGGAGAAACTGGGTAATGAGGAGCACATGGGGAGCAAAACACAGGAACACATGGCTGACATTACCCCCCCCTCCCCTCCTGTCCACACGCCACAAAACTTCCAACGGAGCATTCAAATATTCTTCTTTGGCAATTAATGGGGTGGTAACCTCCTGAAATTCACAGAGAAGCTCCCCTGAGGATTTGACTCCTAACCACTCTATTTTCTTCACCTTATCAAGATTCAATTCTTATCAATTCTGTGAGAGTAGTGTTTGGATTTACCTTTGTGAGTATTACGGACCTCCCAGGATCAAAATGATGTTGCTTGCACAGATCCATGTTGAAAGGAAACGAGGAAATAATAATAAAAAACAATACAAAAAAATTATATATCGGTAGAAAAAAAAATTATTCAAATCAGTTAGGATCAAAATTTATCACAAGTGCAGTAAAATTTTTGTCTCTCTATTCTGTAACCCACTTGACATTTATATCAATGAAAAGGACGAAAAGTATCTACTGGGTCTGAGCTCACCAAATTGTTACGGTCTGCCTACTGTGTTGGAACGAGGAGCGAAGGAGCGAGGAGACGTAGGAGAATTCATGAAGTACATTATTTATTAATCCATTGGAACACACACGTAGCACAGAAGAACAGACGTTTAAGACCGGACGCAGGACACAGGAAAAACCAGGGCTTAAGTAACTAAAACTAAACGAGGAACACCTGACATCAATGAACATAATCAACAAGGGAGAAACTGGGTAATGAGGAGCACATGGGGAGCAAAACACAGGAACACATGGCTGACATTACCTCCCCCTCCCCTCCTGTCCACACGCCACAAAACTTCCAACGGGGAGAGGCTGTCCGTAGAGGCTCTTGAGGCCTCTACGGACAGGCTTACATGGGACTGAAGGCCTCCAGGGCGGTACCCATTCCGGGACCCATGGCCGATAAGGCAGTTCAGGGGGCCATGGCAGAGCCATGGATACACAGTACACACATATACATGCATGTGTTTGTATTTATACATACATATGTAATTAAGAAAAATTTTATGTTTATATATAAAATATAAGAATATAAATATATAAATGTATATACATGTTAATATTTTCAAAATATATACTGTATGTGTGTGTATTTATATATACATAATAAATATACATAGTACACATCCATATATTATGTAAACAAAAACTTTTATTTTGGATGTGATTAATCGTTTGACAGCAATAATATATATATATATATATATATAAACTTATTTTACATGCCCAAACCTTCTATGCATTAAGTATGGAATAAAAAAATACATACAGTATATGAATGTGAATACAGAAACAATTATTCTCAAACATCAGAAATATTGACAAAAATAATCAATCAACTCTTTTATTTGAGTGGGTTACAATGTCATCCCTGCAGCATTCTATACTGACATACTGAACATGTCTGTGCATGATACATATCAACATTAATGTATGTTTGTTTATAGTGTGGATCATGGGGGAGAGATCATGATAACAGCAGGACTACAAAAGTGTAGGTCTACAAACAATCACACACACACACACTAGGGCTGCTTGATTATGCCAAAAAGGTAACACTTTATAATATATTTTATTAATAAATCATTAACAGACATTGTTTAATGCTTAACAGAACATTAGTTAATATATATTGACATAGCTAGAAATATGAGAAAATGTGCTTGTTCATGTTTACTAATGTACTTATTACAGATCATCATTTAATGTAAATTAAAATGCTTACAAATATCATTCAACTTTCGATTCATATGATCATGCACTTTAAAAAAATTTTTACAAATACTTTTAACAGAAATTATACAATGATGACAAGCTTATTTGTTAATGTACTTTTGAATGCTAACAAATGTCATTAAACTTAAGTTCACATATTACATAATGCTCTTTTTTACATTTACTAATGTTGTGAAAAATTAGCTTAATCAGTCATTTTAAGCTCGTTACTATTCACTGAAGTATTCATGTTAACATATTGTTTATTAACTCATAATCACAGTCTGTAAAGATCATATATTTGGAATTCGTTTGTTGTGTAGACTTCTACTGTTTTCACATCTTAACATATCATTTATTAATCATTTGTTCATGTTTTTGCAGTACCCAATCTAAAGTGGAGACTATTCATCATTTGTAAATTTTACTTTTACATTTACTAATCATTAGTACCTTTATGAGCAGTTATTTTGATGGCAAAATGGTCCTGAATTCACATAATTTATAATCATTTGTTCATGTTTTTGCAGTAGCCAATCTAAAGTTTAAACTATTTGTAAATGTTTATAAATGTTTAATAATCACTCAATTCCTTTATGGGTATTGGACTTTTAGCTGCTGTAACAACGTTTGTGCAAAGGGTGGTTAAGTAGTTAAGTTTATGTAAATGCTTCTTAAAAACGTAAAAACATGTTTGTATTGCCTCAACACTTATATCAGTATACTACTGTATATCATTAAACAGGGTATTCCTTGAATCATACATCAACAGGAGAAAACAAATAATTTTTTCAAGAAAATACTTGCTTGTTTATCAAAACAATGTAATATAACTTTTGACCCCTTACCCAACCCTTAAAACAACTCATACCACCAAACCCTAACCTTACCCGTATCACACCTCAATAGCAGCAAAAGTGTTGTACGTTAACAAAAGCTTTTAATCATTGTATAATATCTGCTAAAATCATTTGTAGATTTTCAAGATGTGCATGATCATATGAATTAAAAGTTTAATTACTTCTTTTAAGCATTCTAATTTATATTATCTGTTGATCATTAGGTAATGTTTAATAAGCTTAGTAAACATGAACAAGCACATTATCTCATGTTTCTAGCTATGTGAATATATATTAACTAATGATCTGTTAAGCATTAAATAAGTCCTCAAAAATGATTGAAAATAATTAGACTGTCAGTAATACAATAAAAACAAAAAAAGCAAAGGACAAATACAATAGGGGAAAAAAACAAATGCTTTTAAGTCTTAACAGCCTGCTACAAAAATTGAATAATCTAATATAATAATAAAATAGCACAAGTTGTCACTGTAAGAATGAAACTTTCTTTGTTTCTTATTAAACCTAAAAAGTCCTTCAGTCAAGAGCAGTGAGTGATTTTTGTTGTTTGATTAATATTAAGCACACAGTCAGCAGCAGAAATAGCCTGCTGTCACTTTAAGAGCCACATGGATCCAATTTACTGTTACACACGTTTTTTCATTCTCAACTGTTTACGTTCACTTAAGACATAGCGACAAGTGTTTATGTGAGTAATCACCAAGCGCCACATTTTGCATGTATTTGACTGTTTAGGCACGCAGCTTAAGCTAAAAGAGGAATTTATACATGTCCGTGTTCTGTTCCGTGTCGGAGCGCATGCACAGAAGTCCCGAAGAACAGCGCAAGTTCTCTTTTGCGCTTTTAAAAACATTTAGTCAACAAATAAATCAAGCACGTCCCATTTTGCAAAAGTCACGTTATATGATTTAATGATTTGCACATAAAATTGGGCTTTTATGGAGGAGGAAAAGCACACTGCTAGAAAGGGGCGAAATAGGGCACAATAATCATTTTCTCAATTATTGTATTTTCATAATTGTTGGAGATCGAAATTGTATTTTGATTAATAGCACAGCTCTAGCACACACACAAGCACACACACACACTCACTCACTCATTGATGTTTCTCTCTTCTTGTGTTCAGATGCCTGTGATCTCACACTGGATCCAAACACAGCAAACATTCGTCTCGTCCTGTCTGATGAAAACAGGAAGATGACACGTGTGTTAGAGGAACAGCCGTATCCTGATCATCCAGACAGATTTGATGATATTCCTCAGGTTCTGTGTGTAGAGAGTCTGACTGGACGCTGTTACTGGGAGGCTGAATGGATTGGGCATGCTGAAATATCAGTGGCATATAAAGGAATCAGCAGGAAAGGATGCATCGATGACTGTTGGTTTGGATTCAGTGACAAATCCTGGAGTCTGGGGTGTTCTGATGAAGGATTTGCTGTCCGACACAATAATAATTACACTGATTTACCTGCCAACCGTTCTTCCACTAAGAGAGTAGGAGTGTATCTGGACTGGTCGGCTGGTACGCTGTCCTTCTACAGCATCTCTGACACACACACACTCACACACTTACACACATTCAACACTACAGTCACTGAACCCCTCTATGCTGGATTTAGGGTTTATTCCTCAGTGTCTCTGTGTCGGATTAAAACACAAACACACACTTGTAAACCCTCTCTCTAATGTCCACATGCACACAAACTCATCAAATCCCACATTTGTATTAATTCATTTTTAATGATTTTCATTGCCATCTAGAAGTTAGAAATCTAGATTTGACACATACTGTTCTGGATCTCTAAAAAAATACAGAGTTCTGGCATGAAACTCTAGATGGCGCAGTCCGATAGGTCTAGCTCAATCTGACCTGGCGACATCATTGTCACATGGCAGCTGATTGGTTCTCTCCTGTATCGGTAGCCAATGAGCTTACTGCTTAATATTCAAATACCTGGCTTTTGTTTGTTGTAGCAGTTTTGCAACGCACTTCAGAAACCCTCCACCTTCCCCAGCTCCACCTGTATAAATCTGCTACGAGGTGATTCGTGTACGCTATATGGGGGTTGTGCAGCAGCAGTATTTCTTACATGCTCACAGCAGCATGTTGTTGATGTATTGGCAGTAGCAAGTCTCGGTACTTGCTCTGCAGCAGCAGAGTAGCAGATCTATTCCGCCAAGACAAAATAAATTGATATTGTCATGTACATTACCATGCCAATCCCTCCAAGAGTTGTCATGACAGAAGAACATTTGTGATCCATTTAATCACTGGACAAACTGATGTCGTGAACAACAGACATAATGGCACCAGAAGTCTACACGTCACAATAGGAATTTGTGGTTTAGACAAGAGGGTTTCCTATCTCATTTGATAGGAAACTCAACAACAACTAAAGGATCATTGTAATCAGGATTGCCAGAGGTGGAGGACAGGAGATACTACATCAATGGCCCATTAATCACAGGCACAATGCCCATTGTTCATCTCTGCTCTCTACGTCTGGAGCCAAGATACAAACAACCTAGGCCAGGGTTAGCAAGGACAAAGAAAGGCCCCAAGAGAGAGACAATCTATATACACACATTGGCTTGAAACCACCAAAAATTGACAGGAATACTGTAAGGAACATGTCCTATACATGTTATTCATCCAGGGAACTGTGTACACACAGTGGAAACCACAACTGGCCAATGTGATCTCACCCACTGACACAGATATGTACATCTGGGTGATACCTCAACCAATTCACATTACACTTGGGACTCTATTAGTTCAGACATTGCCAAAAGGACTTTGGAAAAGGTTTGGAAAATAAATAAAGTATTCACAAGGTCCTAAAGACCTATTTTGGGACAAGGCAACAAGCTCCTCAGGATGGAAATGTAGGACACCTGGAATGCTACGACCCAATCACATCACTACAGTTGGAAAGAAGGGGATTAGTAATAAATATAAGCTAACCAAACCTTTTCCCAAAGGCCTTGGCATTAGGTTGTTGCTATAAGAGATTGCTATTTGTGTAGAGACTGTTTATCCAGGGTCAGTGTATACCGATAGATACATTAGGCACGTTATCTGTATTCATTGTGAATGCTTATTTACTATTCCATACAGTATCCAGAGTGACCACAATTTACTTCCCCATAAACAAACTACCCATTCATTGCACATTTACTTGGCATTCACTCAGTTAACACCCATTTGTGTAATAGTTTGTAGCTTCTGTTTGATTATTGATTCAATCTTCTTAGTAGTCTAGTCATTTTCCTTAGTAGTATATAGCGAGTGTGATATTTTACTCTTATATATATTTTTGTTAATAAATAAATTTTTATCGCAACGCTGTCATTCTTGTATTGATAATTAGAGGCTCTAGAAGCTTGCCAGAATCTCACTTAACCTTCAGATTGGTCAGATGGTAAACGCCCTCCAATTTTTGTAATTCTAATTCTTTATTGTCAAAGTTAAAAAGTCCTTGGCTGGTCCCCCGAGGAACGGAGGGAGGTGCCATCTGATACCCACACCCACAATAAGTGACGTGTGGGCTCTAGTATTATTTGGTACACTGTAATACCAAAACCCACCACACGGTACTGTATGACATATTTCTGATCATAAAGACTACTAGATAAGAAAAGATACTTTCTTCTGCAGAACACACGTTATGGGTTAGAATTTTAAATCCATGACACAGACCTCTTTCAAAGTTCAAGTCAGGCTGTGCACTGTCCATCTCTCAACTGGCCACCATGCCCAGATACATCAAAATAAATCCAGAAAGTCAGAAAAAAGTTGGTGTAAAAAATCCCGAAATAGTGTTCAAAAGACGAGGGCCATAACAGCTAAATCGAGATGGTAGGTTTATTTGGGGTGTGTGGTGTGCCACAATGCAAAACCCTTCTACAGAAAGCCCCTAGCCAGAAGAGGACAGAGCCATCACCATGGCAACAGACCCAGGTTCCAGACCAACCACTGGGAAAAGGCGTCCTCATCCTGCAAACACCACGGTATGTCCAACAGCAGTCCACCACAACATCCTCCTCCACACGGGTGCTGAACGGAGGCTACACAAGGACAGCTGGACATGCCTACCTCTGGGTTACAGGAGCTGCTGACACTCGCAAAAGAGCTCCTTGAACAAAACTCAACTAAGGAGTATTGAGAAGGACAAACCTCTGACTCCTTAACTGCTGCATCACAGCATCAGGCCCCTCCAAGGGAGGAGCATCCCTTGAAACCGGTCGACACCCCTAGAAGCAGCCAGACAACGTTGGATTGAGCAGCGGGCCCACCTGCCCAACAGCGAAAGCTCTACCAACACAACTCAGGCAAGCTCAAGTCGGTGCCGCCACAAGAGCCAAGCGACACCGCAAACATCGGATTTCTAGTGACGTTCGGGCAGAACAGAGAGCTAACAACCACCTGCTGCTCTCCTGCCATCATCACTAGGTCAGTCTGAAACTCTCTGCACACTACAAAATCTCCATAACAATTACCTGCAATCCCTGGAACCACCTGCACTCTCACCAGTGAGAGTCTAACCCGGCTGTTCCACATCGTGGGTACCACAAAAACATCCTACCCGGACTAACTCACTTCAGGATGACAGGTGACACAGCCTCGACACCTGCTGCACAAGCTCGAGGACCCTCACCTTGCTACAGCCTACATCACCACAGCACACCACCTAACAGCATCCACCATGGCACCACAACCACTCCTGGAGGCAACAATAGCCAGAGAAGCCACCACTGTCTCCCAGCCGTGAGTGGCAGGTGCGTGTCTGGATTGTTCAGCACCTTTTACGTCGCTCGCTGTTGTCTATTGGATGGACAACAACGTTCGAAAGGGGGGAATTATGTAGCATTTTGACCAATCAGACACACAACTTTTTGTTATATTTAACAAATAATATCGAACTCCCCATCACCTAACCAAATGGCCAATTACGAGGGTCTATGGACCCTTCCCCCGAAATGCACCTAACACCTCAGAAAGGCAGAACAGGCCTCTGGTTCCATGGTAACCAATGCTGATATCACTGGTTTTATGGCCTAAAAGGAATGCAGGGGATAAACTCCCTCATTTTCCTCATAAGAAAGGCACAAATGCACAGGAGAAACTGACTTTTCTACTAATTAATTCATAGGAAAACCTTCTTTGAATGAACACCCATTTTCTTCAGGCCATTGTGTATATTATTGCTGTGTTGTATTTAATCTGTTGTATTATAGACTATTTTTATTCATGCTTACGATAAACCACTCATTCATATAAGTAACTCTACCATGTCTAGTATCTATGAATTCGTCTTCGGATGATCTAACTGAGAGTGCATATTACATGCTGATACCTCTGCAACATATGGATGTTCTAAGAATCATTACTAATTTCTGCATCAACACCCAAGTGAATTTCATATGCAAAATACCATGCTTAGAGACAAAGGGCCATAAAAACGCAGAACTCCCACTTGAGATTCCGGACTTCCCCATTGGGCAAGCCCATCTTGAGAGGCGTGAATCTCTGCAGGCTTTAAAGGCCACACTTCAAGAGACCCGCCTCAGTCGGTGGTTCGGTCAGAAGCTAAGAAAATGTGAGAAAACGCTTCAGGATACCAAAGCATTTGTGCCAGGCCTTTCTTTGGCCTAGTCCTTTCCATTCATCAAGTGACTCTGACTCAAACTGGTTCTTTCTCCTCAACCAACTTCAGCAAGATCTACGGGAAGCTTTAAGATTTGCATCAGGAATCTCTTTCAGACCGCCGAGACTCGCAAGTATCAAACTTAGTCGATTTAATTGATGCATTAAGTATCAGTTACACCTTTTTACAAAGGTGTGTTTGAACTCAGAATCTGATGTTTCCCTGAAGGCTTTGATCTGTTGAATATACATGCAAAGTGTTCCATAAAATTCAGTCTTTATGCCTCTTTCTATGCTGAGTTAAACTTTAACCCTTTCCTATACCAACTGTATGTGTGTGTGTGTGTATGTGTATGTTAGACCAGCTTAATGTGTTTATGTAGTATGTTAGACTAGTTTAAGTGTTTATGTAGTTAATAAAACCTTACTTGTATCACACTTGACGTGTTCATTGTTTGCTCATAACCGGAGTCAATAATCATGCAGATTTACGTTACAAGCTTATAGAATTGTACAGTAAGAAAGTTATTTCCCTTAACCAGGAAATTAACGTCTTAGAATTGACAAGACAGTTGACCCTGAGTGGTCAGCTAAATATCTACAGTGGATCTAATATATGAATAGTTAATTATAACTAGTTATGGTTAATTATTCATATTTCCCCATGAGCTGATTCGCTACATTGTCAAAGTTAAAAAGTCCTTGGCTGGTCCCCCGAGGAACGGAGGGAGGTGCCATCTGATACCCACACCCACAATAAGTGACGTGTGGGCTCTAGTATTATTTGGTACACTGCAATACCAAAACCCACCACATGGTACTGTATGACATATTTCTGATCATAAAGACTACTAGATAAGAAAAGATACTTTCTTCTGCAGAACACACGTTATGGGTTAGAATTTTAAATCCATGACACAGACCTCTTTCAAAGTTCAAGTCAGGCTGTGCACTGTCCATCTCTCAACTGGCCACCATGCCCAGATACATCAAAATAAATCCAGAAAGTCAGAAAAAAGTTGGTGTAAAAAAATCCCGAAATAGTGTTCAAAAGACGAGGGCCATAACAGCTAAATCGAGATGGTAGGTTTATTTGGGGTGTGTGGTGAGGAGCATACATATTTTATTAGACAGTCTCAACATAATTTTTGATGGAGAAAAATATTTTTCTCTTTCTAGAAAAGATCTTACTTCTCTCCTCT